GAAGAAATATTAGGGGCAGACAGGAAAAAAAAAGAAAGGAAGAAAAACCTGGCTCTTCTGAATGGCAGTATTTTAGGCAGGTGGGGTCGTGGTTCTTGATGAACGCAGTTCTTCCTTTCATCTTGGCTTTCCTCACGAATAGGATGAAACCACCGACAGCTGGGACCTTTCCAGAGGGCCAGGGTGCATGAAAGAGATGTGCTTGGGCGTGCGAGTGCCCCCTGCAGGCAGGGACGCACTCGGGTGCACTCGGTACGTACCTCACTGTTTCCGACCCTGCTAAACAGTCTCCACGTTTTCAATCGTCTTCAGGTTACCAGAGCAGCATACAGAGTGTGGGTTGACAGAGCTTCTTGTTTCCCGCAGGAGTGCCCCCCAGGTGGCTGAGCCCTCCAGGCGGCTGAGCACACGGCATCTGGGGTTGTCTTTGGGGCTGCTAGAGCCTGGTGATGTCTCTGCACTGCTGCAAGTCCCCAATGCTCTCATAGTCATTCTCCTTCGGGAGAAGGCCACGGTGGCCATTGGTCTCTGGGGTGGCCTTTTCTTCCTCTCTGTTTAGAGCCTGTATTGCTTCATAATCGGGCTCGGGTTCCTCACTGGGTCTCACTGCTGCTGGAAGCATGCTACCGCTGTTTGGCGTTTTCTCGAAGTCTTTAACAGTCGCGTAGAGATCGTTACAGGAAGAGGGGGATCTCTGAGCGGCGCTTTGGATGGAGGTGTAGGTGGACTCTGGAGCTTTAAGAGACTGTCCCGATTTATTCCCTGACTGCCCAGGTTTATTTACTGATGAATACATGGCTGAGATCTAGAAAACAAAGGGTGAATTAAATAAATAAGCCTCAAGTTTGACTTCTTTCTCCCCCTTTACAGTGACAAGCTAGATATTTAGCACTATAGGCATGTGTATGCCCCTTTAAGATTTTTTTTTTGCTAATTCTCCCCAGCTTTAGTGAGATATTATTGACACATAGCATATGTAAGCTTAAGGTGTACAACATGGTAATTTGATACACATATATACTGTGAAATGATTACTACAAAGCTTAGTTAACTCCTTTGTTACCACTATGTGTGTGTGTGTGTGTGTGTGTGTCTGTATGTGTCTGTATGTGGTGAAAACAATTAAGACCTACTTTTCAACTTTCAAGTATGATAGTATACCACTGTTAATTATAATCACCATGCTCTGTATCAGATCCCTGGAACTTACTCAGCTTACAGCTGGGAGTTTGTACCCTGTGACCAACATCTCCCCTTTCCCCTACTCCCCAGCCCCTGGCAACCACCATTCTACTTGCTATTTCTAAGAGTTTGGCTTTTTTAGATTCCACATCTATGTAGAACATATAGTATTTGGGTTTCTCTGTCTGACTTATTTCACTTGCATAATGTTCTCAAGGTCTATCCAAGTTGTCACAAAAGGTAAAATCTCTTTCACGACTGAATAATATTCCACTGTGTATGTACATGTGTGTATACACACATTATATATATGTATATGTATATGTATATATTTAAAATGTATACACGTGGATATGTATCTCACATTTTCTTTATCCATTCATCAGTTGATGGATACTTAGGTTGTTTCCATGTCTTGACTATGGTGAATAATGCTGCTAAGAACCTGAGGGTACAGGTCTTCAACACAGTGATTTCATCTCCTTCAGCTATATACCCAGAAGTGGGTTCTTCATGTGCTAATCCTGAAGTACATTACTAGAGAACAATTATATATGTTCAACTTTGTAAGTAGACCAGTCCTATGAACATAACCCCATGACAACCAGGTTCTCTCTGGGTCTTTGGGAAGGAGGAGAGCAGGCAGAATGAGGCCCCCAGGACCTGACTACAGTATCATGTTTTACTCGATTTCTACATCAGAATATTTCACCTGGGGAAAAAAAAAAAAGCTCTACTGCTTTAAGGAAAAAGGAAGAAGACAGATGTTAGATGAATGGTTCTCAAAAGGCAGGCTTCGAACTGGCAGCAGCAGGATCTGGGTCCCATCCTAGAAGCACTGAATCAGAAACTCTGGGGACGGGGCCCAGCACTCTGTGCTGATTTTGATGCCCACTAAAGTGTGAGAACCCCCGAATTAGACCGTTTGGTTCACTCTTTCTGCATCGAAGTGGTCTGAAAAGTAGCTCCTGGATTCTGGCTGGCAATCTACTTCTACCTGTAAAAGCCTCATTTTCCATTAATTTTTCAACTTCATTGCATATTACTGGTTAAATAGACATTTACAGATGGGGATAAGTTTTCTCCAGTGGGAAAAATCCATTCTTACTTGCAACCAGCCAACCCAGAAATGAAATTTGGGGACAATTCACTTACAGGGCCCTCTTTCCTACTGAAAGGGTGGGCTATTTTCCGGACACCCCTACTCAGTCTCATTAACATACTCCATATAACCTCTACTATCAAGAGGGATTTAATTTTCTTTGGTAATGATAGATTAAACACACTGATTAAGAGACATTTGTGTGTGTGTGTGTGTGTGTGTGTAGGGGGGGTATTATTGTTAGAAACCAAGGCTGGAAATAAGTAGAAATATCCTTCATTACCTTCATTGGCCATAATGATTGATTTATTCAAACACCCAGGAAATAAATGAACATGCCTCCTGACAGATGCTTGGCTTCCCAAGTGCGGAGAGATATTTCCTTGCTTTCACATATCTTACATACTGTGGATGAAGTTTCCAGCTGGCCTCAAAAGCTTCTTAAGACAGGCCTGCCGCATGTTAACTGGTCATTTGCATGAGAACTTTTCACTACAGGCTGGTGGCTCTGTTTTGCCAGGCCTTGACAATCCAAAGATTTAAAACCAGAGGAATCATCTTTGGGAAATTCTGCCATGCTGGTCTGACCTGTCTAGTGAATAGTAAATTAACGTTCTCACCTTAGAGATCTGAATGGAAAATTACTCTTGAAATGAAGAATGATAATTTCTTTGAAATTAGGAAGAATAAATCACCTGCTTTTCACAGTGAGGTGCAAACATATGGAACTTATTATCTAAAAGGTCATCCAAGCCAAAAATTATACAGGGTGGACATGGATTATAAAGGGTGGACAGATTATAAAGGGTGAATCATGGATGACAGTGAAGAGGGGAGCCAGAAAAGTAGAAATGCACTCTGTGCCCTCAGGGGCAACACTGAGGAGGACAAACACACCATTTCCTGCCCTGTACCGATGAGGGGGGGCACACTGCAGCTTCTCTCCTCAACTTTCCTCCCCACGATGCCTGCCATTAATGCTCCGCTCTTTGCAATTACTTGGGTTTTCTTGGCCTTTACACTCTTTTTTAAAAAGTTAAAGGCTCTTTCATTAACTTGCAACTTAATATTGTCTCTGGGCACGAGCCTAGTGTGCAGAGAATGTTGAGAATCTTTCATAAGTGTTAACATTTACAAGTCTTCTGATGTTCGGATATATACCTTCTAGGACTATGATTTCCATTTCGTATACAGGTTCCTTTCAAGCCCTGCTGCTATTTAGTGTCACAAGTTTCCTCTTTAAAATTTTTTTTTAACATTTATTTATTTTTGAGAGAGAGAGAGAGAGAGAGACAGGGTATGAATGGGGGAGGGTCAGAGAGAGAGGGAGACACAGAATCTGAACCAGGCTCTGAGCTGTTAGCACAGAGCCTGATGCGGGGCTCGAACTCACGGACCGCGAGATCATGACCTGAGCCGAAGTCGGACGCTTAACCGACTGAGCCACCCAGGCGCCCCTACAATTCTTCTCTTTTAAATCTCTCATCTTTATTATTTAGGCTGCAAATTGTTATTATGTTCTTATAAATTACCCTCTTCCTTTCCCCCATTTCTCTTCCTATAACCAACCCTTTCCCATCATTCTGTTAAATTGGGATAACTGTACTTAAAACTCATGTCTCAGTGTCTGTCTGGACTGGCTAACACTATAGTACAAAAATACAAAAATAAGTGACTTCCATAATTCTTTTTTGTAAAGCAGCTTCCTAAAACGAATACATGTGAATCACCGTTCTTTAATCTACGTTAAAAATTCATCAGTATAACTAGGTCCTATTTTCCCAAACCACAAACAATGTAAGATTAGAAGAAAAGTAATTTAAATTTTTGCATAGTCTCAACTTTATTTTAAAGGATTTGTTTCCAGATCTCTCATATATTCTTCTTTTTGGTCCCAAGTGGGATGGCCCTGGTGCAGTGGGGACAAAAGACTGCTAGAAGAAGGTGAAGGCGCCACCAGGCTGGTGAGGGGCGGGCACAGTGGACACGGACAGAGCAGCATGTGAAAGAAACCCTTTGGAGGTAGAATTCAGGGGACCTGCTACTGCCTGAGTCTGAGGACATAGAGGAAATGGGGGTGTCATGGATGATGCCCAGGATTTTGGCTCATATGAACAGGTGGCTACATCGCAGGTCCTTTCCCTGGGGCAAGAAACACAGAAGCACGTGGGCAACATTGCCTATGGGAAGCTCTCTGCTCTTTGAACTCCCAATGTGGGATTGTAGTCTATTTCATTTTTTAATACTCTACACAAAGTCCTATGATGTGAGGGGATGTCCCTGCATATGTATGTCATTTTCCTACATGCACAAAATTTACCATGCTAGGAATTCCAGATAGAAGCTATATACAGCCAGATAAATTGAGGTGTTCAGCTCTCTGAGCCTAGCTTGATATAATAACATATATACCGGCTTATACGATTTTGACGCTTCACTGAAAAGTTTAGCTGGTGAATATTTAGCCCAGGTACTTGGAAGAAGACGGTGCTTTCTTGTTGGCTGCTATGTCTGACTGTTGCTGCAGCCTGGAATTGTACTTCCCGGAGTTAGTTACCTGCTCTCTGCCTCCATATTCCTCATTAAAACCTTCCCCCTCCACTTCCCAGGCTGGATTAAATTCCTTACACCCACCTGTTCCAGTTTCCTGTGTTTTCCAACCCATGATTAAGTGCCTTCGAAGGTGGACTTGCTTCCTGACTGCTCACTAAAGCTCTCGCACTTAAATCTCTCTCTTGTCATTCTATTTTCTCCCCTCCTCTTCCTGTCTTTTTTTTCTGTTCCTTCTTTCCTACTCTGTTTCTTTCACTTAGATGACCTGTTCATCCTGTCTTCCTTTTTCTCCTACCATCTGCCAGTCACTTGAGCCACTATAAAGCCAACATTCCCAAATCCTGGCCTCCACACATAGGCTTAAGAGTATTTCAGCTTTTTCAGAGAAGAGTAGCATAACAGTGTATTTATTCAGGGAGAAACGCTCTATTCTTTAAAGTTTTCTGGTTATTTAAAAAGCAACAAAACTCACCTCTTCTTCTGTGAGAGTTGGGTCCTCTTCCCGGGACTTGTACGACAATGAACTAAATCTCTGTTAAAACAAACACAGACCAAGGGAAGATATAGTTTGAAGTCAATAATCCAGCCTTTCTTTTGCATTTGTTTTGACACATCTATAAAAATGTTTTCAAATGATTTTGAGGGAAGATATTATTTTCTACAAAGAAATTATGTCAAGGGGTGCCTGGGTGGCTCCGTCAGTTAAGTATCCGACTTGGGCTCAGGTCATGATCTCACGGTTTGAGTTGGAACCCTGCATTGGGCTCTGTGATGACAGCTCAGCCCTCCCCCGCTTGCACTCTGTCTCTGTCTCTCAAAAATAAACATTAAAAGAAGAAACACTAATAAAAGAAATGCTGTCAAGCAACTAACACTTATAAACACTTGTAAAAAATCTATTGTGTTGGGGCGCCTGGGTGGCTCAGTCGGTTGAGCATCTGACTCTTGATTTCGGCGCAGGTCATGATCCCAGGATCGTGGGATCAAGTCACATGTCAGGCTCCATGCTGACTGTGGAGCCTGCTTGAGATTCTCTCTCTCCTTCTACCCCTCTCCCCCTCTTGTATCTATTGTACGATGTTTTTCATTACCCAGTAGTATTAAATACCCAATGCCCTTCCTGGTCACTGGTGAATTCAACCTTCAGGTGGGTTCTTAGCACTGCTCTGTGTTGGACCACCCTTGCCAGTATACCCGGTCCCTGCTCGGCTGTTTACTTCCCACCTTCCCCTCCCTCCCCAGGCCCCAATACCTCCTCCCCCATCCTCACTCTTACCTGGTGACCTGGAGAAAACTGAAGAAATCAGAAATTTCTAGGAACTTATACCCTACCCTACCCCCATCTCTGCTTTCACGAATTGTCCTTCCTCCCTGTCACCAAAGAACTCTTCAAGCCCCTCGTAAAGGTGATCCCCTCCTCTTATACAGGAGATCCTGCCCCCTCACATCTACTCATGAACATTCACTCCAGCAAGTCTCCCATTCAGTTTACATCATCAGCTTTTCCCTCACTGTGAAATCATTCCCACCCACGTGAAACCATGCTGTTATTTCTCTGACTCTGAAAACAAAACAAACCAACCCTTCTTCCAGTTCCATCTATGGCCTCATCCCTTTATAGCAAAAGCTCTTAAAAGACTTGTCTAAAAAAGTTGCTCAAATAATTTTTCTCTTCCTTTCCTCTCTCTAAACCATTTCAGTCAAGTTTCTGCCTCTGACACTCCAGGACACCAATGTCCACCACGTGACTAACGTGACTGTCAATCCTCAGCCCTCATCATTCCTGACCCGTCACTGCATTTGCCACAGTGGCCACTTCCCTGTCCCTGAACCTTCTTCATGTGGCTTCCAGGACACTGAACTTTCCTGTTTTTCTTTCCTATTTAGGTGTCCTCTGCTCGTTCCTTTTCTTTCCTAGACCTGCGCCCTGGGAACTCCTCTAGTTGTCATTTACACTCAATCAGTGATCTCATTCCCCCCTTAAAGCAACGTCATGGCTGTAAGAAAAAATTTCTGCTGATGACTTCCAAGTGTACAAATCCAACCCAGACCTTTTCTCCTAAACCTCCTCATCCATCCAGCTGCTCTCTGCTGTTTCTACTCAGACATCCAGTATGTATCTCAAACGAAATATGTCCAGCACCGAATACGCAATCTTCTCCAAAAACCTGCCTGCCTGCAGCCCTCTCCATTTCAGTGAATGGTGACTCCATCTTGGTAGTGGCTCAGGCCAAACCTGGGACTCATCATTATCTTTTCTTTCTTTCATCACACATCTGGTCCACCAACCAATCTCTTGGCTCCAGCTTAGCTTCTCCCATTACTTCTGTCCTGTTCTAAGCCACCATCATCTCTTGTCTGGTCTGTGAGAATGGCCACCTGGTGTTCCTCCTTGCTCCTCCCCTTTACAGTTGAATCCGACAGTACATTCAGGGGCATCTTTGCCAAAGATCCAAAGAGTCATCCCTTCTTCTCAAGATTTTCTAATGACCCCTGTTTTATTCAGATTATGAGTAAAGGCCACACAGGATTGGGCCCCTAGTTACCTTTCTCTCTACTACCCTTTCCTCTCCAGCCACACCTGTCCCACTCCTCTCCCTTGGACAGGCCGGACGAGCTCCAGCCTCAGGCCCTTCACACTGGCCATTCCCTCCGCTCTTCCCCCAAATGTATACAACTCATTCTCTCACCTTCTTGAACGTTTTATTCAAATGCCACCTTCACAGTAGGCATGCCCTGACCACTCGACTCATAATTGTACTCACTCCACTTTCCTAATCCTCCTTATTTTGTTCTAATTTTTCCCTATAAACTTTAAAGCCTTCTAAAGTGCCATATACTTTAGTTTTGTGCATATTTATATCTCTCCCCACTAAAATGTAAGCTCCACTGGAGCAGGAAGTTTTGTTCAGAAGTTTTGCTCACTAGTGGATTCTCAGCACCTAGAAGATTATGTGGCACGTAGTAGGTGCTTGCGAAAATCTTGTGCATGAATAAAAAAATGAATGAATATTAACTATTTCAAGTTATCTGAGTTGCTTAAAATTAAGATTGTTTATATGAAGATGATGGGTTATTCATTCTTGTATTACCATTGATTCCCAGATGGGTATTTCCAGTTTCTAATGGGATATCTGGAGAACTGCTTAGTGGTAGTGGTTAGACAATTGACCTTCTTATCTTTCAAGTGCTTATAAGTAAAAAAAGCTTGAATTTTTTTTTTAGGCATAATAGACTTTACATTAGTTTCATTATCTGTGGTTATATGAAGGGCAAAACAATAGACTGCACTTTTGCATTTAGCACTAGGTTCACGAACACTCTTATTGGGGCTCTCAACAGCTGATTTCACAGATAATATGAAAAGTTGAAACGCATTCAGAGAATACCACAAAGAATGACTTACTGGGTATAACCTATATAGCCACAGCCAGAGTTCACATTTTGATCATAAACTCCAGATGTTTTTTTAAGGCTACAACTGTATTGACTGACTAACCCCTATTTGTCCTTCCCACCAAAACCTGAGATGAGAACCTTGCTTTTTCCTGTGGAGAGGACAGAAATCAGATAATAGCTGACTAAAGAAGACTGGGCCTGGTTAAATCCCAAGGAGATACTGACAACTGGAAATGTGAATTTCAAGTTATTGTGGCTCATACATCCAGTTATCAGAAACAGGTAAGGCCCAGGGATTGTTAATACATTTGAGAGCTTTGTTGAATATCTAACCTTAAGAGTTATTGGCTATTGTTTTGAAATTGTCACAAAATAAAATCTTTTACTTGATTTTATATAGAAGTATGCATATATAATCACATACAACCAGTGGCAACTGTGAGTCTGTTCCCTCTGTGTGTGTTCCTATGCTCTGACTTCTGGGATCACCATGCTGCTTGAGGCAGCAGCAAACAGAAGAGGCTAAACACGGGGCAAACGGTCTAGTTTCCATTTAAATTCCTGGTCTTCAAAATGAAGACAGTAATACTTAGCCCCAATTAGATAGGATGTAAAAACTGGAAAATATCCAAGTAAGGGGCCAAGAGAAAATATTTTACAAACATGAGTTTTTAGCATTTTATTATTTGGAAGCGGGGGGGGG